AAGACTTTGTTAACAGTCGGGCCGTCTTGTGGCCCTAGTATTTATTTGTGTAATTTGTCGAACAAGGATTTGCCTTGGGCTCATTGGGAGTCCTTGGCTTTTTATTTAATTTACTGCTTCTTTATGATGTGCTCCGGTCTTGTTCTCTGTTACTTCTGATCGTTTTTTTATCGTTGTGGGAGCCAAGACTAGCACAATTAGATTTGTAAGGGTTTCGAGAGGAAGCAGAGATTTCTAAGTTAAGCTACGAGAGAAAACGATGAGCAAAGAAAAGTTTTTATTGCTGTGTATGTTTTTGTCCACAAAGTTACGGATCCCTTTACAAGGGTTTATATATCGACATATATATTGTTCCTAAGTCAGCTAGGTTTTCCATAAAATGTTATGTTAAGTTTCTTAAATCTTCGCGGATTTTCTTTTCGTCCATGTCGAGTGCGCCGAAGTGGGCTTTTCAACTGGACTGGGCTTCAGCGTTGAAACTCCAAACTCCCGCGGTCGTTACGACGTCGCTTCGTAGCTGATATGCTTATCTTTTAGAGATATCTGGGCTTGTTCTCTCAACTGGCTACGGGCTGACGCCCAACGCAGGAAGTCTTCGGGTCTTTCTTGCGGAGCGAAGATATGATCTTTCCCGCGAGACGAAGATATGATCCTTCCTGCGAGGCGAAAGCAGGGGTCTTCGGTGGCATCTCTGCCAGAGTCTTCGGTGTCACCCTATCAGAGTCATCGGTGGCCCATGTGTTGATGCTTTCTTCTGCATGAAAGCAAGACATAGAAGACCTCACCTCGCAGGCAGAGAAGACTTCGCCTCGTAGGCGGAGAAGGCTTCGCCTCAGAGGTGGAGAAGACTTCGCTTTGCAAGAGGAAAAAACTTCGCCTTACAAGCGTCAGTACCGATCAATCCAAGAAAAAGACAAGGGCAAAATAAATACCGATCTCGATGTTCCATCCGGCTCAGATTTCCAAGTCCAGATTCCTGAGCGAAGCCCGGTCGATCTTCACGAAGAAATTGTGAGTCTCCCAGTCGGCAGTTTTGTTGCATTTGAAGCACTCGATGAGAGATTTCTTCATACTAAGATAGAAACAACCTCTCTTCGCCTTTTTTCGAGAGATCTTCGTCAGATCCTCGAAGGCATCGCAGCAGAGTTTACAACCAAGCTCGACCGCCATTACCACCAGCCCGACTAGATTACGGACGGACGCGATCGTCAGTTGAGACATCGCAATCTTCCTATGAGCACAGTATTCGACCAAAAGCCTTGGAAGAGGGAACCAGAGCCCATCTTCGTAGATAAAGGACTCGTACAAACACATGTACCCCGGAGGAGGATTCCATGGTCGGTCGCTGCTATTTGGAAGAAGGAAGGAGACTTCCGACGAGATATGGTGCCCTTTCCGAAGGTTATTGAGCGTGTCCGCAGTGGATTTCGTCCCTTCATCATCATGACGCTCGAGAACAATATCAGAGGCGAACCCAGGACCTGGGTGACGACCGTAGTCTCCAGAATCGTCCAGCTCAAATTGGGAGGTCTGGTATCCAGTATCAGGCGAGCTGGGTCTGAGAGCCAAACTCTTGCCAGCGCCATGTCTCGCCGGGGGAAGAACCACGCTCGGGGAAGAAAATGAGCTCGGCACAACATGTGAGCTCGTCAAAGGAGGTCGATCCAAGCTTGAAGCAATCCCACCCCGGTTAGCGGTCGGATCTCGCTGGTTTTTCTGAATCAACGGTTCAGGGTCAGAAGAAGGAGACTCGGGAGATTCGTCGCCCGCGGAGGGGAGTATTCAAGCCCCTTTACTGCCAGAGTCAACCGAATCAGACTTTTCATGGTCGTTCGAGTTAGAAGACATGACGAAGAGACAGAGACTCAGGAAACAGACTTGGGGAAGAAGAAGAACCGACCAGGGGAACTCGAAAATCTAGCCGGGAAATCCGAAGCCGAGCAGAAAAATCTAGAGATAAGTTAGAGAGATGATTATCTTTATCTAGGGAGAGTGAAAAAGCAAATAGAAGAAACCGAAGTCTGGATCTCGCTTAAATAGACCCAGCTCAGAAGACGAAAAGACATCTCTCGGGACTCCTCCACCGCTTCGGAAGAGCTAATCAGAAGCGAGCAGATGATGGGCCTCCAAACCACATCGACGAGCCCACCAACTAACGCGCTCGTCGACTGGGGGGCCACTGTTGGGTATGGACCTCATAATTGACAAATTATGAAGTCCATCGCCGAGCTCGGCCTAGCATAGTTAAAAACCCAACATATTTTCTAAGAAAATCCTACATAAATGTACTTCCTCATTCTATTATAAAAGGGAGACCCCTCTCCTTGAGTTGTCGCATCACTTTTTCTCTTTTAGAGTAGTACAAGGGACTAGAGAACTAACTGTTTTCTGGACTCTAACTAATCTACGAGAGAATAAATTATGTTCATACATTCCGTCGGAATCGTACGAGAATTTATCAGAGAGAGTGATTTTTATACGCGCTTATCATCGATCTCGGAATACTTATCACTCAGGCCCGACCTCAGCTTACTACCCAGTTCCCGACCTCAGGAGCTCGTTACTCAGTCAGTTCATTTATACAAGGTTCGTCAGTCTACTAAGCTTCCGAGCTCAACATCCTTTACTTTCCTTGTTCCGTTATCCTACCTGTAATCCATTTCCGAGCATAATATCAATAAACGAGGATTTCCGAGCCCCTTTACTGTTTAATTAAGAAAAATTTACCTAGAATAACCTACTTTTTTAAAAAAATAGCTAGAATAACCTTACCATTTTTTTTATTGCTAAAATAATCTATTCTTGATTTTTTTTCTTTCATAATACAAAAATTGTCCTTGGCAGACTCTACCGAGGTATTGGCAGAGTCTGCGTATTCCTAGATATTGACAGAGTCTGCCAATACATTGGTAGAGCCTACCAATGTTTCCGCAGAGTCTGCCAATGATTCGGCAGAGTCTGCCAATACCTCGGCAGAGTCTGCCAATGTTTCGGCAGAGTCTGCGTATTTTTAGATATTGGCAGAGTCTGCCAATACATCGGTAGAGTCTGCCAATACCTCGGCAGAGTCTGCCAATGTTTCGGCAGTGGCTGCGAAGGATAATTTTGGTATTATGAAAGAAAAAAAATCTAGAATAGGTTATTTTAGCAATAAAAAAATAGTAAAGTTATTCTAGCTATTTTTTTTTAAAAAGTAGGTTATTCTAGCTAATCTCCTTTTAATAAACATACTATCAAACTCGAGTATTAACAAAATTTGCGATGAATGCATTTGCGGCTGCTATTCCATTTGCACCATTATGACGGATTTGCGAGGGTTTAATGTAAAACCTAAACTCTTCGCAATTCCATCGAAAACTTGGGACATATTTGGCAAAATTAAGATGAGATTGCTGAGGTATTATGAGTTTGATAGATTACTAATTATATGAAAACCAACCATATATGATATATGTATCGCCTTTATCAAAAGTCCGTAGCAAAAAAAGTATAGCAGTAAATAATTTTCCATTTGGCGTATTACCCAATAAAACCCTTAGATAATGCAATATTTACGCTTACTGACACTGAGATACTGAAAAACTCAGGCTCGTACTTTTCCACATCCTTAGA